GAGCAAGTCCAGCTCATCTCTGGGCCTGTTTCCTCACCTGTAGTATGAGAGGAAGATCAGATTAGGGGGTTCATGAGGGATTTCCCACCTCTAAGATTCTAGACCATTCCTTCTTCTTCCAAAGGACCTTTTAATTTCTGCAGCATAGACCACACCCAGAGCTTTAAACAACTAGCCTAAGCAAAAAAGGAGTGGGGAAACACTTTTGAATTTATTTGCCATCAAATGTGCCAAGACTTGTGCCCAGCACCTGGGGGTGTGTTAAATCCTGACATAGTGTCTCAGCTACATGTGTGAGAGTCTGGGTGAAGAGTCATCTCCGAGTGCTTGTCCTGGAGCGCGAGGGACACCCCCTCTCACCTAATCTGATTGCCCTCTCCGAGAGCAGACACCCCAGCTGAGCTCCCACCTGGTCTCAGGCTCCTGCTCTGTGCTGCCATCAGTCCCTTCCCAAGAGCCAGGAGGAAGCTGCTTCAGGGGGTCTGAGGGTAACCAGGCCTGGGGGTGCGCAGGGTCCTGGTGCTGCCAGAGAAGACACCAGCCCCACCGCTGCTAGGTTCGAGTGCAGCGCCAGCCCCGATACTTCCCTCGGTCTCTCTTCCTGCTCTTGGGGCGTAAGATGAATGGATCACTGAGGTCCACCGGTCAGGCCTTGGGGAAGGGGAGGCGGGGAACTACCTGGGATTAGCCAGGAGAGTGGCCCTGCAGAGTCTCCCCCAGGCCTCAGAATGGCTGTGGGTACAGCCTCTGGAAGTCCCAGAGGGGCCGCTCCAGGCCTCCATCGGCTCCAATTCTCAGTGGTTTCTCGGCACTGGAAACACTACTGGGATAACGCAAGCGTCTTCTCCTGGGCTTCTGGGCTTCTCCTCGCCCACTGTGAACTTTGGATTGTCCACAGCCAGGGCAGCGTTTCTGGGACAGCCGGGTTTTTGCCATGGGAACTGGACAGCAGAGGGGAGAGCCCTCTCTGCTCCCAGCAGTAAACCTCCTTATACCAGTCCTCAGTTTTCAGGACTTCAGACCCGTGGGCCCTGGTCCGGGATCTTACCAGGACAGCAGATGATAGTGTTTCGAGTCTCAAGAAAGGCTGCGTGAGAAACTAATAAAAATAAAAATAACAAATGAAGACAGGCTGTGTAATGTTCAACATGTCGCTTGACTTCTCTGAGTCTCTGTTTCCTTATTTGAAACAGTGGAATGGTCGTCTCTGTTTCATAGGTGACTGGGAGGTTGGAATGACATATTGGTGGTGGCAGGGGCTGCGGCAGCGGTAGGCTGTCAGCGATGGCTTCCTTTTCCCCAGGGGAATCCTGGCCCAGCTGGTCAACCAACAAGGAAACCTTCCAGCAGCAGCAAAGGAGGCACCTGGTTGCCGAGGCTGCTTCCTGGGCCTAAGCAAGAGGCAGCTCCGTTCCTGGGAGCAGGTTAGAAGTGGACTTGGGCAGAGGAGAGGAGGGGGAAGGCCAGGAGGGGCTGAGGGCCGGGCTCCACTGCAGGCCCTTGCCAGTCTGGGGCTGAGAGAACAGGCTCCCTCCCCTGCAGACACGCAGGCCCTGGAGCAGCTGAAGGGTTGTGGGGAGAGGACCCCAGTCCTCCCCTGATGGGGTGCTCCGGCCCCAGGGGCTGTGGAGGGGCAGGCTGGGCTGGAGGGCTGGGCACGAGGGCACCGAGCTTGGAGGAAGTCTCCAACGGGCCAGAGCCAGTGGGTGAGGCAGACAGGTCAGGCCTGAGGGACAGTTGGGCAGGAGGTACAGTCCCCATGGCCGGGCCAAGGGACAGCAAAGGCAGAAGGGGTGGGAGAAGGCCAGGGGAATCCTGAGAGTGTGGACCTGGAGAAAGTTGCTGAGCTGGGGAAGAGGAGACTGGAGTCTGCATCAGGCCCTTCTGCTTCAGGCAGCCATGTTGCCCACGGGCAGGGGTTTGTCCCAGGGGCTGCTGGGGCCAAGCCCAGCAGCCAGCAGGCTCCGGCGCTGGGCGGGAGGCGCAGTCCAGGCGGCACACACACTCATGCAGCTGCAGAGTGCGAGTCCACCACCCTAACTCAGCCTGCAGGGCCTGGATCTCCTTCCGCAGGGTGTGGTTGTGTTTCTCCAGGGTCTCGTACTGCTGGGGGAGAAGCAGTGGGCCAGGAGGGGATGTCAGCCTGCAGCGGGGCCCGCGTGAGCCCCATCCCCCTCCAGGCTCCTCATGCCAGAGGAAGCTGCCACCTTCTGCATATCCAGGCTAGAGCCAGCCCTCTACCACGCCCCCATCCTGTACCCTGGCAGGGCACAGAGCTACCCCGCTCTCTGCCCACTGCGAGTCCCCTGAGCTGCACCCGCTTACCTGGATCTCCAATGGCTTCCTCATTGGTGTGCCCCCAACCACCCAATTCTCTTGGCCCCAAGAAGGCACTGTCATTAATTGGAGGCCGAAACCCTCCAAAGGCCCAAGACTCCAGGTTCCAAACTCCCCGTGTTGGCCCTGGACGCCAGCCTGGCAGCCCCTGCCCAAACCTCCAGCGCCATCTGTCCTGCCTCCTCTCCTGCTCCTTCTCCTCCTGTCCCTCAGATGGAATTTATTTCCTCAACATGTTTCCTGTCTCCTCTGCCTGGACACTCCTCGGCGCCACACCCTGTGTGAGTCCCAACGTGGCTTTCACGTGGCACCTTCCAAGTCATTCTGTCCTAGACAACTCAGGTGACTTAATGTCACCGCCAGGCCTCCCCGGGGCCCAGAGCTTGGCAACTGAGGCACCGAGGGATTTGGGGTTCAGTTTTCCAGGTTGACAGCACAGGTGTGCTCTGCTGGACATCTCTGAATCAGCCTTCAAAAGGTTCTGTTCTTCCAGACACCGGCTTCTGAGAATCTGCTGGGACAATCGTCCACTTCCACTTCCACTTCTAAATGGCCATCTGTGATGACAGCGATGTCAGAAACGCGGAAAGAATTTTATTTTCACGTTAAAGGCTGAGTAACGCCAACAGTTTCCTTCAGTCCCCTTTTGGGGACACTTGAAAAGGAGAAGTTGTAAGGATGTTTTGCATTAAAAACGTGCCTTAGGCCATGGACTCGAGAGTTCCTAAGGACCTCAACACCACCAGTGGTGGTTTCCATGGGTGGAATGGACACTTCTAGAACACATCACCAGGTCACCTAAACTCTCCAAAGCCTTCACCTGACCTCCAGGAATTGAGTCACTCATTCATTTATTTGTTTGCCACCTTCAGCCTGTTCAAATGTCACTACTCAGGGGATCTCCCTAGTTAATCTCCATCACCCACCGCCTCTCCCTTCCCTTTTCCGATTTATTTTCCCGCTTCAGACTTATCACCACCTAACATCTCCGACGCTTTATGGATCAGCTACTTGTACTCTGGCCTCTGTGAGAACAGAAGCTCCTGGAGGTGGGAGAGGGCCTTTGTCTGGGGCTCATATCTCCCTCCAGGGCCTGGGGTGCAGGGAAGACACACAACAGCAGTCTCCACAAGGAGCAAATAGAGGACGCACAGTTTCCCGTGGTGCTCCCTGGTGCGCAGTCTGCAGGGGGCGCCCCCCACCCCAGCCAGTGCTCCACCTGCCCCTGGTGCATGTTCTGACCTTCACCCACTTGGAAAGCTCCTATGGAGCCCTCAAGTCTAGATCACCCTTCATTGCCTCTTTATGCCCCCAAGGCCACTCACAATAGTGTCCCTCTGAAATTAGGATGAGGTCACAATACCCATGCGACTGTGTTTAGAGATAGGACTTTAGAGCCAGGCATGGTACTGCATGCCTGTAATCCCAGCAGCTTGGGAGGCTGAAACAGGAGGATCACCAGTTCAAAGCCAGCCTTAGTAACCCAGCGAGGCCCTAAGCAACTCAGTGAGACCCTGACTCTCAATAAAATTCAAAAAAAGGGTTGAGGATGTGGCTCAGTGGTTAAGTGCTCCTGGGTTCAATCCCCAGTACCAAAAGAAAAAAAGAAAGAAATAGGCCTTTTAGGAGGTAATTTAGAGTAAATGAGGTCATAAGGGATCTTACAGGATTGGTAGCCTTATAAGAAGAGGAAGGAGGACTGGGGATGTGGCCCTGTGGTAGAGTTCCCCTGGCATGCGTGAGGCCCTGGGTTTGAGCCCCAGCACCACCAAAAGAGGAAGGGAGAGAGAGAAGGGAGAGAGATGACTCTCCTCTCACATCCGTGGAAAAAGACCACAGCACCCCCAAGCACCCTGGCAGGAAGAGAGCCCTCAGCACAGAGAAAATTAACATGTACCTTGATCTTGGACTTTAGAAAATAAATCTCTGCGGGTTAAGCCTGCAGTGTATGCAGCCCCAGCAGATGGATGCGCTGCCCTACCCATGTGTCCCCACACTGCCTTATCATTTGCTGGATGGTGACTTGATCCCAGGGTCTCTCACCTGCTCTGCAGGCTGCGCTATACCCTGTTCTAGGTGATGGGCGAGTAGCAGGGAAAGGAATGGTTCCCTGCCCTTAGGGTGCCGAGGAGGGAGACAAGTCATGTATTTGGGATGTGGAACCGAGGGCCACTGCTGAGGATGGGTTAATTAATTAGTGGGTTATTTGGTTATGGTGAGAGTGGATTTGCTATAAAAGTGAGCTGTCTCTGCTCCATCTTGCTCTGTGATGTCCCCCGCCATGCCACTTGTGACCAGCAGGAAGGCTCTCCACACAAACTGGCATCATGCTCTTCCATGTCCCTAAACCAACCTCTTTTTTTTTTTTTTTTTTTGATTGTACTACTGGAGATTGAACCCAGAGACACTCTCCCACTGAGCTATATCAACAGTCCTTCTTGCTTCCTTCCTTTCTTCTTTCTTTTTTAACCTTGTGACAGGTTTCACTAAGTAGCTATGGTGGCCTTAAACTTGGCAATCCTCCTGCTACAGCCTCCCAAATTGCTGGGATCACCAGTGTGCACCACCGTGCCCAGCACAAACATCTTTTCTTTATGAATTATCTGGTCTGTGGTATTCACTTATAGTAACAGAAAGTTGTCTAAGATGGAGGGTGTCCCCACCTGGTGCAGGGCATCTGCCTTGTCTGTGTGCTTCTGCCTGCTGCGCTGGGAGGCCACCCGGTTTTTCTGTTTCTTCTTCAGCTGCTTCTGACAATCTGGTGGGTCCTGCTGGGCATGGGACACAGGGCTCAGGGATTCCAGCAGGGCTCTTGCCCTCTGCTCTGGCCAGCCATTTGCAAAGCCAAGTTGTTCCCTTGGGGACTTGACCTGTCCTCCTTGAAGCCCCTCTTGCTCCTTCAGCACCCATACTCCTCTGCAGGCCTCGCACACCTCATAAGCTCTGCTCATAGAATATGTGGGGGCGAGGACAAGTAGGGAAGCTGAGGAGCCTGAGATTGAAACCTGGACAGAACTGGCTTCGAATGGCACATTCTCATGAGCCATGTCTCTCTGGGCTGGTCGCTCACTTCTCTGAGCCCGGTTACCTCCTCTGTGCAAGAGTGGCATTATGGTACCTTCTTCCGAGGCCACTATGAGGCGTGGAGAGAAACCCACAGGGCAGGCAGCTCAGAGCCAGAGCTGGGAGAGGTCAGCTCTGCTCCCAGAGTGCTCCCTGCACTCTGCGGGGGCCCTCTGTCTATGTCCTGCTCACATCCAAAGCTGATATCCACTCACTCCACAAAAATCTATTACTTATCTACTGTGTGTCGGCCGGACACGTAGCCAGGGGGACAAAACAGGAACCACCCCTGCCCCCATGTTCTAGCTGAGCAATCATCCGGGACGAATGAATGGAGAGTTCCTTTTGCCAGAACAATGGATTCCAAGGTTGTCAGCTGCGACCATCCCCAACCTGGGCACCTTGGAACTTAGGTGAACATTCACTCCAATGGCCCAGAGTTCTGGAAAGACGAGGCAAGGGGGGCAGTGGAAGACCTCACAGCCCAACAGGCCCCCATCATTCTTCGGGGTGTTTTGTGGGTCAGGACCTCAGGCAAGACCCTGGCCTCCTTGGCCAAGGATTCTGGATCCTCAGTAGTTCCTGGCTCTAGCTCTACCCAGGCCACAGCCTCCGGTGCCTTCACGGCCACAGCACCCTCATTTCAGACTAGAGCCCAGGGAAGGACCCAGTCAGAGAAGAGGGGAGACCTGTGAGGGAACCCGTGGCTGCAGGGGTCATGGGAAGACAGAGACTGGAGGGACCACGGGAGAAGAGGTGGGTCTGGAGAGAGCCCGTGGGAAGTCCAAGTTCTAACCCCGAGGCTGCATCTGCAACTTGGGAACTGTCCCCCGATGGTTCAGGGGAGGAAATTCAGACTCAGAGAGGGCTTGAGTGGAGCCTGCCAGAGGTCACACAGCCCAGGAGCACAGAGCTGGCACTAGAACATCCCACCTCTTGCCCCACGGCCTGGGCCCTGAGACCCTCAAGTCCCCTCCCCGTCACCCCCCACCCCTGCAACCCTGTACTCACGGGCCCCATCAGCAGCACTTCTCTTCCACAGAGGTGCATGGCTGAGGCAGGGGAGCGAGGCTCACACAGATCCTGGATGTCCCTCAGCAGCTGTGACCTCCCGGTGCCCTCTGGGGACCCAAGGAAGTGGCAGCTCTTTAAATCCCTAGTGACCACTCCGCCCCCAGAAAGCCCAGTTTCAGTTTCTCCTAAAGCCACCGGCTGCTCAGAATCCCTGGCTCAGGACTGCTCACGTGGCTGGAAGTTCCTGACATGATCTGGCTTCCGGTTGGGCCCCTTTTCTGGGAGAAGGACTATGGAGGGTGGAGACTGGGAGAATGAAGGCCAGGTGTGGGGAGGGTGTTCTGAGGAGGGAGGGCGGGCTGCCAGGAACAGAGCCAGGGAAGAAGCCAGTGGGGCCCCAGGTTCACATGGGGCTGGGGAGAGTCCCTGTGCTCCCTGGGGCACAGGTTCACAGCCCACAGCAGAGCAGTGCAATTGTGAGAAACTGAGTCACCCTCTCTGAGCCTCAGTTTCTTCATCTGTAAAGGGTGTGAGTTGGGATGGTACAAATTCCCAGGCTCAATGTAGGAACTATGGGGGAGAATATGACTCCCCCGATCCTCTGAGGTGGAGTCCAGGTGGGTCCGTAAAATCAAGCAATGGACCTTAAATAAATGGATGTTACTGTTTCCATAGATCAGACCTAGGGACTAGGAGCCCAGCTTCCAAGCTATGTTTGCAAATCTGTAAAGTGAGGATAACGATTTTGTTGTGAATAGATGAGTTAAGGCAGGTGAGTTGCCTGAACCCAGGCCTGGTGCAGAGAGTGAGACCTCGACCTTTGCATTTATGAAACCCTGGGAGATTCGAAACTGTGTTTATCACCAGGCCTAACAGTCCAAAGCATCCAGTTGTGTGAAAATAGCAAACTACCACAAGATCAGAACAAGACGATGACATTTCCATAAGGTTTAATAATATGGATTGTAAAGAGGTCATGAAAGTATAAAATAAGCACCAGAATGAGGAACAAAATTCAGAGAGTGGTGGCCGGAGACAGGTGGGGGGACAGAAGAGGATAAAGGGACTTCAGTAATTGCTTGTGTAGTGGGAGCACAGTTGTAAGTGGTATTATCTACATTTTGGACAATGTTTGAAATGTTTCCTAATAAAAACCTCTTTAGAAGACCTAGCAAGCCCCAAGCAAACCTGCATGGTGGTGTCTCTCTGAGAAAGCCATGCTTGGATAGGACATCTGATAGCGGGGACACAGGAGCCAAGCCACCCCTGTGCTGAACTAGCACACAGCATGTAGGGTTCTATGGTCTGGCAACAAGTGCATCTTGGGGTTGTGTCTGCGTCATGAGCGCTCAAGGCTGATGATGGGGGATCTTGAGGGTGAGCTCATTAGGAAAGGGTAATGCAATTGACCAGCCCCGAGCTGTGCCTGCCATGCCGAGACTGACTGGAGATGTGTCACGAGCGGAGCAGAGGCGTGGAGCATAGCCATCCTCTGCCCTCCCTGCAGCTAGGCCTGAAGCTGCCTGGGCCTTACAGCTGGAAGCTCTGAGCCCCTGCGCCCTCTCACCAGCTCTATTGCCTGCGGCCTCGGTCTTCTCACACACAAGCTTGGGGGGGACAAAGAAGTCACACCCCCTGCACAGAGCTGTTGTAAAGTGCCATCCAGTCAGGACGGACTCCCTCTCCTGAGGTTTGTGGTGACTCATTCTGGATGGTGGCTTGTAATTAGGACGGCCCGGTGGGAGGGCTTGTGCATCACAGCTGGGCCCTTGCCTCCTGGCTTCTGAGGGGCCTGGAGGCGGAGGTGGAAGTGGGACACCCCCACGCAATGAGGCTGCCCCGGTTTCTCTGAATTATTTTTGTTTCCCAGTCACTGGGAGAGCTGGGGCTTCCTGCCTAAGGCGGGCACCTGGGGCTCAGTGAGCCAGAGCTCCTCAGGGAGCACTCTGCAGGGCGTTGTGCAGGATGTACCCCCAAACAGCTGTGGGGGAGGCTCGGGCCAAGCGCCCCTCTCCCAAACCTGGATCCCCCAGGCCCAGGCTTCAGGTAAGAGGTAGAAGGCAGGTGTGGCTCCTCCCAGGAGGCCACAGCCCTGAGGAGGAGCAAAGGAGGCAGGTTTGATGGCTTCAGCTCCCTGAGGTGGCAGGGAGAGGGAGTGGCAGGGAGGGAGGGGTGGTTACTGTTTAACCTCCAGTGGCCATACCAGGCTTCCGCCAGCGGCCCTCCCCGGCTGGCAGGGCCATCTGGTCCCAGCCCTCACTCGGTGGTGTCCTGGTGTGCTCTGGCTGCCCCAACACTACCCCAGCCTGGGTGGCTTAAACAACAGACACTGATCTCACAGTTTGGGAGGCTGGGAAGTGCAAGATTGAAGTGTGGCAATGGCCTCTGGCTAGCAGATGGCTGCCTTCTCGCTGTGTCCTCACTTGGTAGAAAAAGTTCTCGTCACTCTTTGTCATCTTACAAGGACACTAATTCCACCCTCATGACCTCATCCAAACCTAATTACCTCCTAAAGGCTCTGTCTCCAAACACCATCATATTGAAGATTGAGGTTGTGCTTGAACATAGTTTGGGCAAACAAAGACATTCAGTCCACAAGAGAACGAGAGGAAGCTGGTACCCAGAGAGTCAAGGTCACACCACAGGGCATCAGAGCTGGAGGGAGAACACAACCTCTGAATCTAAGCCCTCAGCTCTTCTGCACACCCAGCTTGGAGAGGCCTCTCCATGAGTCCACCATCTCAGCTTGAGCTAGAGGCCAGACGGCTCGGAGGCCTCCTGAATACCAGAGCTACAAAGCTTTGCCTGTTTTGCTCTCTCAAGTATTCCCCTTCACATAGTAGATGCCCAGATAGTGAGTAAATGAATTAAAGTCCAGGCAGCTTTTCATCCAGGAACCCCAAAACCTTTCTGAATAAATAAACTTCTGCTTTTCTCATTCCCATAGGATCTGCCTTGGGTGCTGGGGGATTCTCCCGAGCCAAGCTCCTCATTTTACCAATGAGGAAACTGAGGCAGAAGGAAGGGACCAATTGGCAGAAGCTAGGAGACATGTAAGGCCTTTTGCCAAGTATGTTCCACACCTCATGGGGTTGGGTAGAAGCTTAGCCGGTCTCCAGGTGCCCAGGGATGAGGACCTCTGTCTGGGTCTTCCCACCTCATGCATCCCTAGTTTTAGGGCACCTGAGGGAGCTGTAGAGGATGAGTACAAGATGAAGGCTTAGGCGCCTGCTGTGGGTTGAGGCTGGTACTGATGTCCCACCCAGGACTGTGAAGGAGCCTGCTGGAGCTAAGTCTCAGCCTGGGGTGGAACACACCTGAAGGGGAGGTCACCTCCTTTGGGGGAGGTCATTTTCTGTCAGGGGAGCTCAGAGATTTTCCAGAGCAGGGGCTCTTTGGGAGGGACATGGAAGGATAGGAAGGCTCTATCCCAGGGCCTGGAGCTTGTTCTGGGGCAAGTCACTTAACTAACTTCTTTAAGCTTCCTCTGTATAATGAGGATAGTAATCCAAGGATTTGATGAAGTGATAAATGTAAAAGAGTCAGAACAATAAGTCACATAAACTTGGGTTGAATTTTTAACAAGGTTAGTTAGTAATACCTGATGAATTTTTCTGTACACATAGCAACAGACCTGGATTATGTTTCATTATAAAGAAAAAAATTGTGGGGTGCAAGAACATTGATGAGA